ACGCCAAATAAAAAGGTGAGAACAGTTATCAACAAAAATAAAATAATTCCTCGCATTATTTCTTTTTTTATGCTGCGGCCACTCTTCTAAAAATTAAACTTTCCATCAAGTTTTTTCTCGCAAAAAACACCAAAACTTTTCTAGCTGATTTCTGGATACGAATTGACAAGCGAATTTACTAGCAATTTTAGCTAATTTTTTTTGCTCTAAAATTGCGAGAACAAAAGGCTTATAATAAAATATATGATAAACAAAAATACCGCTAGAGAGTGCCTTATATTCACCTTTGAACGACTATGGGAGGAAGAAAATCTGTTTAAAATTTTGTTTGTAGAACCCATTACCTTTCAAGGTCAGGAAATTCATTATTTAGCTATTCCTAAAGACAATTTACGACCAATACGAAGCTACTTAACCGAAGTTTTGCAAGCTGGCCACAAATACGAATTTTCGGCTGGAGCCAATTCCCAACTGACTAGCGAATATGGGCATTTAAATTGAGAAGGAAAAAGTTTTGAGCTAAAACCTTTCGAGGAAAAAGAAGACCAAGCAACTATAACCGATGAGGAGAAAAACAATAATTCACCAGAAGATTCTAGTCAACAACCCAAAACCAGCATTAAGCAGTCTGAATTGGAAAGAGTTGCTTTCACAGTCGAAAGGATAAGAGGCTATTCTGATTCCTCCAATGCTTTCCGAATTCACTTTACCGAAGAAATTGAATATCAAACCACAAAAGTAAAAGGACTGGCTATTTCTAAAACTCAATCCGGAGAAAATTTAAGCAAAAAACTGCAAATTTTGGAAGCAGGGGAAAAGTTTGAAATCATTATTGCAGGAGCCGGTTTGGCTGTTAACCAAGGCCCGGGTTTTTCTTATTTGGAAGCAACTCTCGACAACATTCGGGAAATCAGAAAACTAGGAACAGAAGCATCATCTCCGGCCTCTAACGCAGAAACTAGTCAAAAAGTAAGAACAAATAAAGCAACCAACCCAACTTTGGCTAAGCAAAATCTCGCCCCAGATAACAATTGATTTGGGTCCGGTCACTGATTAACCGATCAAGAAATCGATTGAGCCTTGGAGCAAGTAGTAACCCAACTAAGTTCGCCTTCTAAATTCAAAATTTTAGAACTAACCCAGTTTATGTTTGCTAAAGAAACCTTAGACAGCAATGATCCAGCCGCTAGATTTAGTTTCCCGGTTCTCCTTAGTGAATTAACTGGATTTAATGGTAATTTAGTCTTTATCCCTATCAATAATCCCGATTTTCATTGAAGTTTGCTAGTTTATGAGTTAGCAACCAAAACTTTTTATCACTGAGATACTTTACGAGGAAATCCTAATCACGGTTACATCAAGCCCTTAGTAAAAGATCTTCTCCAACAACTTCACCAAAACAATAAGGTCGATTTAGAAAAATATCTAATTTTACGAAGCGAAATTATTCAACCTAATACCTGAGACTGCGGCATTGCCGTAATCGAGATTACTAAACGAATTATGGAAAGATATGAAGGTAGTTTGGAAGGTATAAATTTGGGTGTATTTGACTTTCCCCAAGCCCGGATTAATTGAAGAAGTGAATACGAGAACGAGTCAACCTGACAAAGAACTAGTCACGAAGAAACACCGGATGGCGAAGTATCTAGTAATCGTTATGCTACCGTAGAAAGCGAAGAGGAAGAAATTTCTGACTGGTCCGATGACGAATCCCTTGTTTCTACTTCCTCCGAAGAATGAACTGCTGAACAAGAAGCTAAATTCTCCGAATGAGAGCAAAAGCATCAAGCATTAATTGCCGAGCAAAAGGAAGTTGGCAAATTACTAGATTCTGTTGAAAAAGACCGAGCCGAAGGAAAATTATCTCAAACTCAAATTCAAGAAAAAGTAGCGGAAATTAGAAAAAGACATCAAGCAAACGATAAAACCCAACGAGATTTGTTAA